ACGTCTTTAGTAGGGTTTTGTTTCTTTAGTTGATTTTAACAAAACATACAATGAGAGCAAGAGAAACTTTCATGGAAATATTCAAAGAGAATGTGGCTCGTATTTTAGCAATGCAATACTATGCGAAACATAAAATCTTTAAGCAATCTAACACGCGGCCTCGCGCATAGATGTTCTGTGCTGCCATTCGACAAAACACATAAACATATCTGTCTTTCAAATTTAATCACGCTATAATTATCCTCCTGTGTGATTTAAAAGCAATAACGCACTTATTAATAATTTAATACTTTGTTTTATTTTTGATAAACTATCTAATTGATTAGTATAACTATAACTCATATCTTTATGAATATTTGCAGTGTTACCGTGAGCCGTTTCTAATGTCATATATTACATACCCTGTCCAGAAATTTAACTTTTTTAAAGTTAAAAACATGCTTACTGTAGTCATGGCAAATTTTATGCAACCAAGCATTCATCATCCACGCGATTTGGAAGTGCTGACACTGCGCGAAACGTTAAGATCTCCATTATGCAGCGACGCTGGCACCCAATTCTCAGAGAATTGCCATTTTACAAATTATAAGATTTTTTAAGTACTTTCCAAATTTGTCAGTATCTAAACGCTTAATAAACTGAGAAATTTAAAAATAATAAAACAACTTTGTAGTTCTTTAAATCCTTTTTCACGAAAGTACCTAATTATCATAATTCAAAATATATTTAATTTGTAAAATTGTTATGTGCGTAAAGTTTTATAATGGACTGAATGCACCCAGAACCGATGACACTATGATGAAATTCATTCGCCCCCCAAAAAAACTTTCATGGAAATTCAGGAAAATTTTCAGTACTCGTACAGCTCTTCTTGGTACGACAAAGAACAATCAGCAGTTACCATTCCAAACTACTAAGAACACTGAATACAGGGCAATACAAAAGCCTCAAATACGAAAGCTCACACAGTGAATTCTCAATACTCAGATCTTAATTAAGAATTAAACTCAGATCTTAACTAAACTGGAAACTTATGCTGTCTCCGGTTTTACAAAACTTTCGCCAGTCCGTTGAAAAATTTCCAGTACCTTCCATTTCTCAAAATTGCTGGAAGACATGCACGCTTACATTTACATAGGGGCCAGATACAATTTCAGCTACACAGAGATCGGTCTATTAGTTTACAGTTACACAGGGATTGCATCAAAATGTTGCCAAATGGTCGCCAAGACTGGCGACTTTTGGAAATTTTTCACCAAACGTAACAACAAAATTAGTCTCTTAGAGCATCGCGAGCTTACTGCTTTCACACCAATTTGCAGAGATACCCATTTACCTCAATATTAAATGGATTTCCCCCCGTAACCCTGTTTGTCCGACGACGCTTTGTATCCTATGACCTTTCCTATTACATTTTACATGAGATGCTCCAATTTACATATTACTTTACTAAAATTCTCTACATATACACATAATTCGTAGTAATACAAACAATGAATAATTTTTACCAGCATTATAATCAATGAAACACGTATCCATGCCTCAGTATCAAATAAATACAAGGGTTTATGTTAATAATTGAATTACAATACAATTGCAAATACAATAATTCAATTACAGTTATTTGATATTCTAGTTCACACAATTAAAATGTAATTATGGTTAAAATTATAATGCAACTGTAATTAAATAATGATTATTGAAATTATAACTAATATATTGATACTTAAGTTTAATTCCAAAACATACAACGTTACTGCTACTCCAATTAATGAAATTATAATGTAAGTGTAATTAGAATGAAATTGCAATTACTGTGTAATAGAATAACAATATACCATACTTGCAGGCGTTAAAGCCGCACTTTTTTTCGTTAAAAATAGGTTTGAAAAACGGGGTGAGTCTTATACGTCGATTTTCAGTTTTTGATTACATACATTTCTGGAAATTTCCTCTGTTCGGAGTTATGGGATTTTTTTTCTTGTTTCCTTGCGGAGCGTGGGAATATGACAGTTATATAGAGCTCAGTCAATGCGCATGCGCTTCATCGACGATCACAGCTGGGTTCGTTTAAACTTTCCAATTTTTTTGAACGACTTTTAAGTGTGTGAAATTTGCTTAAATTTATTGGCAAGTGATGGCTCAAAAACAAAGTCAGCATTGCTATAACATAGCATACAAGTTACGTGTGATTGCATATGCTAAAGAACATGGAAACAGGGCTGCACAGAGGCATTTCGGGCCACCTCCAACTGAGAAAAAGATAAAAACTTGGCGGAATTATAATGATCAGTAATAAAGTTTTATCCTTCAAAAATGTGTATAAAAAAGGAGGTGCGTCTTATACGCCGGCAAATACGGTAGTTTTAGTGATTCCTAATACAATTACACTAAGCATTTATAAAGTGAACTATATAAAAAAACCCTTTCTTTAAATTACACGGTTTTAACTAAATGCATTTAGAATCAAAATAATTCTTTTAACTGCATTAAGAATCAAAATATTCTTAGTTTTTCATAAGTAAAATTAAATTCGCGTAGTTTTTACTAATGATGGATATCTATTTGATTGAATGCTGGATCATTCTTATATATGTCATTTCTATGTTATCCTGTTTTACTTGAAAGTGTCTTATTCTAGAAATGCAAATGTCTTCAGTAAAAAATGTACAACTTTTACACTGATACTACATATTTTACACTGTCCTACAGTTTTATTTTAGTGACGTATAGCATAAGAATATTTTGATATCTAAAATCATTTTTGGTTCTTAATGTATTTAACTAAAGCCGTGCAATTTAATTTTTTTTATAGATACATTATTTTGTACATTTCATAACCCATAGGATAAGGAAAGAATACTAAAGATAATGTATTCTGTATGCAAGAAAATTACTTAATAGCAACTGAATCTTTTTTACAAAAAACCTTCTAATCTATCTGATGGCGTAAAATCACATTAAATTAAGTAGTTTAAAGTTTGATATAATGGTATAATCTTGTCATTGTTTGAAATTCTGGGTCTACTAACACTAAGCTCCAGAACTTTTATTTTCAAAACGACAGAAATTTCTACTGGCTTAGAATTTTTTATTAATTAATTATAATTTGAATTGATTATAATGTAAAAAGAGAGAGAAATCACAGGAAACTAGCATATGAGCTATTCAACAAAATAATTACTAGTACCTTTTCCTGCAAATATTGCCTAACGGGTAATTCCGATTAAAATATTAGACTTAAATAAAACTTAAAGAATTTGCTTTGATGCTTACCCCTTAAATGTATTTAGAAAAGCAACTTTAATTCTTTTTTATAAGGAATGATTTCATTTTACAAGCTGCTGCATTGCATATGGTAAATTTGTGTCATATCATCATCAGTCGTTACACTTATCAACTTATTACATTATTCAACTCTATATAAATATAAATAGCAGGGTGTCCATTATTTACGTATGTAACTCCTATGTGCAGTCATGATATAGTGATTAACACTGTCAATACTCATCGAGCAGCGTTTCAAATTTACTACACAGTATTTCCAAAAATTTTGCTTACATATTTAGGTCACTATATCCAATGGACAATTTGACTTTGCTTTATAAAGAAATAACTTATAACTCGCACTAGTAAAGGGCATTGGCCATTTCTTAACTTCTTTGAATTGGCTGAATTATTCACAGTCAAGTAAGAAACAACATTTTTGGATCTATGAGTAAAATGTTGCGTCAAGGAATCTATCCTTTAAACTACAACAACGCGTTTCTGGGAAATGTTGCATGTGTATGTGTGTGAGAGAGAGAGGACTTGAACTTACATTAATTGTCTTTGACCTGATAAGCTCTTTATGGCTCAGCAAAGACCAAAGGTATAAGCCTCAGACCACATTATTCCGATTTTGATTGTTGGCGAAGACTCAACGGATTAGCATGCGTTTTATCTATTTACCCAATTGAATGAACGATACAAGTTATTTCTTTCAATAAACTTCCACGAAGGTTTTCCTCTTAAGGCAAATATTTCATTTAATAAACTTAGCTTATTTTCACAAGAATCATTCATTTGTTATTAAACTGCTGAACTAAAACCTGTTTTGAGCTTAAAATATTATCTCACTTGACAGAAGAAAAATTTGTTCTAAAACTTTAAGCAGTAAAGTGCATGATTAATTTAGGAACGTAAACATCATGGCCATATTTGTATACGGAGGGCTTTGCAAGCATCTTTGAAGCTTCAAAATAAAAGTGAATCCTCCTGCTTTGGTGCTTCTGCATGCGTCATGAGCTGCATAGTCGGGATGGCTCTTCATAAACGGTGACCCATCAAAATTGTGCCTTCATTTTTATGTGATTATTTTTCAGAAACGGCAAAAACTTCATAAGAGTGCCCCGGCATAAAGATGCCGACATGTATATTGCAGATTAAATAATAACTTGAAAGAAAACACCCTTCATAAAGGTACGGGGTACTGCTATGCGTATAATTTCGTTATCTTCTTCACTAGTCCATAGAAGCAATATGAAACTGTACTTCCATAGTGGTGCTCTAGTGTAAAAGTTCTTGCACCGTTATGAGGGAGCTAATTTAGTGGCCAAGTAAGACCACTGAATGTTAGGAATTCAGCCTGTTTCGATCTTAGACGAACGGGTTGCTGACTGCATGGTTGTCTTTCGTGTTTTCCGAGATTACGAACAAATTTTATCCCTTAGAAAGTACTCCGCGAAGGCATCCCTCACTTTAGGAAAATAGCCTTTGTGTACTTTGTAGCATTCAAACAATCAAACTTTTACGAAGATTGTTTTTTACATGTTAGAAACTGATCTTTATATGCATGCAAAAATCTTTAGATAGCAGACTGCTATGAGAGTTTCTGCTTTTTTCGAACACTGAGAGACTTCCGTAAAAGTCTAGCTTCTTTATGGAGGGACACTGTTATGAAGCGGTTTCGCACAGTCCATCACAGAATTATGACCAAAAGAAAAGTCCTAGCAACCAACCTGGATATTGCAATATCCGCTTTCTGCAGAGCTATTTGGGAAGCTCTGTGCGCAGCATTTACGGCGGCGTCTATCCTCTCTTTGAACTTAGCCGATCGCAACATGAAAAGATGTTTTTTCTTGCCAGATGAGACTAGCACGTTATTCTTGTACTTGCCCTCTTCCCTTGTGCCATCCTTTAGTGTCGTAACACCGTAACCGTATTTCTTGTTGTTATACCTAAAAGAGATGGGAAAATAAATTAGAGTAAAGTAAAGAGTAAGGTGGAGTGAATGAAAGTTGGTTACATTTTTTTTTTTTTTTTTACTTTTTCCGCTATCAATTTATTTTTATATATGAATTTTGTATATTGACCTTCACTCCCAGTAGATGATAGTATATATCACTGCTTGCAGCTCTCAAATTTTAGACGCTAACTGAATTATGTATTGAAGTGCTTAGGCATTGCTTCAAATTATTAATTAAAGTTTATCTCTCGATATAGAAAAAAAGGTATTTTTTTAACTTTTGAAAGCATTTATGATAAAAAGCCTGGCTAAACATAGAAAAAAGAAGCAACTAATGCGCTTTGGATATCAGTAGAAGAATGGGATCATGATCATTGTTTTAGAATTTGAGATTGACAATTTGTTACTTGCGTTCCGATGAATTACGGATGTGTTTCTTGTATATTCTTCATGTTTGAATTGTTTACCTGTTTCTCTCGAAATGCCTCAACTTATCAGAGTAGAAGTAGAAATCCAGAGTGTTCGTCTTCATATTTCTTGTCAGGGACTTCGCGGTCACGCAGGATCTTCAGGAAAATTTCGTACCACTTGACTGCCAGCCAGGTTCCCGTTCCCGACCTTCTGAGCTCCTGCTCCCGTCCCAGCGTTGAGTGACATCAGGACACTGGGTCCGGTTAGACAAGTCATTTTTTATTTTATGTTTAGCCTAGAATTTCTTAAATTCTCTTGATTTGCACATAATCAGAGTAAAAGTAAAAGGACCTGAAATGAATGGGCAGTTTGAATTTTTCCCGATATCGATAATAATGAAAATAACTCAATTTACGGCCTTTTATTGTAATATTAGTTAAATGTAATAGTGGTTACTTTAGGAATTTATTTTATTGTGATCAAATTATAAATTCCATATTAAAAATGTAAATAACTGTTCTGTAACAGGATAAAACGATAGAAAGTTTTGGGTACCCCTACTTATGTTAAAACATGAACTTTCTTTCAATATATGTACTTCTCTTCATTTTTTGTTATTTATCAATTAACCGATTCACCGATAAAGACCCTATTTAGCATCGACTGCATGTATGAGGACTGTACGCCTAACGATCTGTAATTCGGCAGACAAAATTTTATGAGTTTCATCGGTCGGATTTCTTGTGTTAGTGAGTCGCACTCTCATTTTCACAGCTCCTAGTAATTAAAAATGTTTTCGTGTATATCCCATATTTTCGTGTTGAAATTTGTATATAGGGTGTTTCATAGATCATGGGACAAACTTGGAGGGTGGTGGAACGTACTAAAAATGTATTTTTTGTATAGGAATGCAGGGTCTAAAGTGACGGGTTAAGGCAGGAACGAAAAAAAAAAAAAAAAAAAAAAAAAAAAAAAAAAAAAAAAAAAAAAAAAAAAAAAAAAAAAAAAAAAAAAAAAAAAAAAAAAAAAAAAAAAAAGAACAAAAAAACAAAAAAAAAAAAAAAAAAAAAAAAAAAAAAAAAAAAAAAAAAAAAAAAAAAAAAAAAAAAAAAAAAAAAAAAAAAAAAAAAAAAAAAAAAAAAAAAAAAAAAAAAAAAAAAAAAAAAAAAAAAAAAAAAAAAAAAATAAAAAAAAAAAAAAAAAAAAAAAACAAAAAAAAAAAAAAAAAAAAAAAAACAAAAAAAAAAAAAAAAAAAAAAAAAAAAAAAAAAAAAAAAAAAAAAAACAAAAAAAAAAAAAAAAAAAAATAAAAAAAAAAAAAAAAAAAAAAAAAAAAAAAAAAAAAAAAAAAAAAAAAAAAAAAAAAAAAAAAAAAAAAAAAAAAAAAAAAAAAAAAAAAAAAAAAAAAAAAAAAAAAAAAAAAAAAAAAAAAAAAAAAAAAAAAAAAAAAAAAAATAAAAAAAAAAAATCAACGCAAAGTGCTTCTTTCAGCATTATAGTATTCACAATAAATGTAAAAAAAAAAGGGAACACTATCAGTAATAGGAAAACTACAGCTGTGATGGCTGGCAGTGCAGCGGTAGAGGGCGGTAGTGAGCCGGACAAACCACGATCCGATGCATCAGAGGATCATTCGTAACTCTGATGTCGAGCGTGATGGGTGAGTTTAAGCACAGGGAAAAAGCTGACATGCATCTCATATATGGTGCTGCTAATGGGAACGGCAGAGCAACGCTACGGTTCTACCAGGAACGGTTTCTAAACAGGCGTATGCCGAAGCACACAATGTTCGAGAGGTTGCATCGGTCTGTGTGTGAAAACGGGTCATTTGAAGCCACCTCTGGAAACTAGGAGTGGAAGAAGTGCATAACAACCTCGCATTGAAGAAGCCATCTTGAACATTGTGCATGAATCACCTCAGAGAAGTACAAGAGGTATTGCACGTCGTCTGCAGCTGAGTCATTCCACCGTTTGGAGAGTATTGCAGGAAAATGGTTTGCTCCCATACCATTTGCAGAGTCCAAGCCTTGCAAGAGACAGATTACCTTCTTAGAGTTCATTTCTGTCATTGGTTCTTGCAGCAGTGTGCGGCACAGGCGGATTTCCCATCGGATGTGCTATTCACGGACGAGGCAACTTTCTTACGGGATGGCGTCTTCAATAGCCACAACATGCACGTGTGGGCAACTCATAATCCACATGGCACACGTCCAAATGCATTCCAAACCCGCTTCTTCGTGAATGTGTGGCGGGTATTATTACAGACTATCTCATAGGCTCACACCTCTTACCTGCACGTACAAATAGCTTATGTTATCATATTTTTCTACAAGAGGTGCTACCGGAATTCCTGCAGGATGTTCCGACTGTCGTTCGTGATCGCATGTGGTTCCAGCATGATGGTGCACCAGCCCATAATCACGTGTGGGTTCGTAATTACTTGGATGGGACATTTCCGGACCGATGGATTGGCCGTGGTGGACCCGTTCGATGGCCATCCCGTTCGCCAGATTTATCCAGCTTGGATTTTTTTATGGGGCCCCTGGTGAATTATTTTTATTTAGCAGCAACTCTCTCCTACATAGGTCACGGCCTTCATTGTTACGTGCTTCGCTAACCAATGTTTTTCTTCAGTAAATTTTATTAGGCTCTTTTAAAATCGTCAATTTCCACTGTGTGTTCTTCTTATGGGACAACTGGATGTATTTGTTCCCTGCAACCTGATTCCGCTTCATATGCTTTCCTCCCGCTCTTAACAGGGCCATCGACCATTTTTGACCAGACTACAGGGGTCAGATATAACAAAATGTCCTCTATCAAGGAAAATTCAACCGTCCTGACGTAATTTGGCTGCCATCTAATATTAGCTATCGGTGTTAATTCCATTATCAACTACAATGTTTATCTTCAGAACATTACCCGGGGCTAGTGTTTCAAGCACCGGGGGCAACTGAAGCTTTCGGACTTTCAACTGAAGCAAATGAACCACCTGGATGCTGCGCCCGAGCACAGACGCCCTCTTGCCTCTTTCCTACTATGCCACTGAATATCCCAAAATGTATAGAAAACTTTAATCAGTTGTTCCTTTTTACTTAATGCCGCAAATATGCATTTTTCCCGATTTATGTGGTGTATAAATACATTCTATTAGTCATTTCAACGTACAGTGTGTAGCAATGATCAATCTTAGCATTATAATCGTAACTATTAAAATATTCTTCATTCAGCTCATAGAAAATCATATTCAATTTTGAAAAAAAAATCTATAAGCAAATTAAATTATCGCAAAAAGAAGGAAGTAATACAATTTAGACTAGAAATAGGCTACAATGGTAGATCCAAATATCATTCCTACCGATATCGGTTCCTCTTTGAAGCGTTCCGTAATTTCTAAAATTTACTTTAGATATGTAAAAATAGAAAAATTAACTACAGGGAACAGATTCTGCATGGACTCGACTTCTCGGTAAAAGTTGCTAGAAATCCTTGAAAGATTAAATTCTTTCACGAAAGCATGCCTTGCTTTCTCACAATAGACAAACATTCCGAAACAAATATTCAATGATCTAAACCAAGACCAATATCATAAATGCAACCATCATCTTGAAGACCAACAGAAGACTGTAGTTCCACACGCAGATAGAGTCAAAGAAACCTAGATCTCCGGCGTTATTAATTTGTCCAACAAACAATTGTAATAGCCTGTTGTCTGAGAAATTAGACAAAATTGTCCCTCTTAAGAAACTTAAATGAAAATGGAAAACGTCACAAATTAGAAAGATGGACTTTCCATTTCTTGTAAAAAAAGTAGAAAGCATTAAAAAGCTTTCTAAGACCGTAAAAGAGTATAGGAGAAGCAAACGGAATAATAGACGTTAAGTTTCCAAAGCAAAGGTTCCAAGGATTACCATTATTAATGTTTAAAAAATCTCACTTCAAAAGTTCTGATTAATGAAATACCAAATCAACTTGGAATATTGTCTAACAATTTTCCCCCATTCTTTTATATTTTCTAGCAAAATAAGAGGTTGCGTTAGCTGAATAGTAGAATGCTCTCCTTAAACTTTCTATTGTTGTGTGCAGTGGAAACGTATTTACTTAGGCTGGAGATGGCATCCGATTACCGAATTGTTCGGTACTAAAGATGCTTAATTGACAAGTGTTCTTCCATCCTCTACATGAGTGTAAATATAGACCATACTGTTCTTATTGTAAAGGAAAGCGTATGTCCTACAAATGTCAAGTCGGCTACACAACTTGTATAAACTTCAAGCTCCGCAGTTTGATAACCTTATGAAACAGAATTTGATCCTTAGCTCACTTCTATTTATCAAGAATTAAACGCAACCCAAAACAAGGATGAACAAATAATCGATAAAACAAGCCACAAATACCCTTTATGCGAATGTGTAGAGTTGCGCGCCTCCAACTTGCACGCAACCAAGAGGTGACTGTTGAAACTGGAAAATAGACAGAGTCTTGCTAAGGGTTTAAGTCCCTTTTTATTCAACGTAAGAAATTACAATTGCGTGCTCTTGACGCTCACAAACTACGCCGACCCGGCGGTAAAATAAAAATAAG